AACCCCCAGGGAACCAGTGGGAGGCTGGGCCATGGTGGGTAGTGATCCCTTGAGGCAGAGCTGCTAAGGGCAGTGGCCCCTCCAGGACTGGGCAGGTGGGGCACTTGTTTCCAGGGGCCAAGGCCCCCGTCTTCCTCTTGCCTTGACTGGAGTCTCCTCCTCAAAGCAGGGCAGCAGCCCCTCCCGGGTGGAACCATGTGTGCAAAGAGGTGGATTCAGTGCTGTGTGCAGGAGCTGACCGGCCGAGTGCTGAGGGCCAAGGTAGTCCACCCTCAGCCCAGCCCAGCCAGCCACCAAAGGCCCTAGGGCAGCCTGAGCCAGGGGATGTAGGACAGCAAGGCCTCAGGCCTGGCCCCGGTGGTCACCAGGGAGGGCTTTGATGCTCAGACATCCCTGTCAGGGGAGAATGACCATTTATCCCATGGCCCTGCCTCTCACACAGCAGCCTGATTAGGTCATCAGCTTCCCCACCAACCAGGGGTGTGTCAGTGTCCCCAGGGCCCTGCATAATCCCCTAGCACACTCCACATGCCCCCACCCCAGTCTAGGCCTCATCGAGTCCCTCACACATGCTCCATCTCCCTGCCCATTTGTCCGAGACATGAGGGGCCTCTCTCCCAGGCTGGGTCAGCTTACTCTGGCTCCAGATGACCCCCCGATCGGGTGTTTGACCCCCCAGGGCACTGTGTACCCTGCCAGCCATCAGAGACTCAAATACTACCTGCCTCTAGTGCCAGACAGGTGCCAGAGGGCACGAGGCTGCTTGCTCAGCCTCAGTCAATGAGCACCTGCTGGCTCTGCCCTGGCCTTGCCCTGGAAGAGGGGGCCTGCAGGAGCTGAGCACGCCCTGGGCTTCTCCTTGGAAGAGGCCAGTACCTCCCTGCTTCTTTCCCTCCCCCTGAGCTCCCCACCTGCACAGAGCTTTCCCACCAAGTTCCACCGGCTGTTCACCCCTCCCCAGAAGGTGAGCAGGGCAAGGATGTTGTCCCCATTAGAGAAGAAAAACTGAGGCCTGGAGAAAAGAAGGTGACAGACCAGAACAAGGACCTAGGACCTGACTCCCACTCCAGTGCTCCTCCCAGGCCCGCTGACTACCACTGGCAAAAGTCCCCATGCCCACCAAAGTGTTCACCAGCTGCCCAGCCTCTCTGTCCCTCAAGTTCTCAAGGCCCTGATGGCAATCCCAGGGACAGAGGGGCTCAGTTACTCCTACGGTGTCTGAGGCACGGCTCCCACCTTGGCTCCAAAGTGGACATCTAAAGGGTTGCTGGGCCAACTGAAGGCTGTGGGCATGAGGCTGCAGGCAGGCAGGGGACAGTGTGGGGAGGCCCTTGGAGCCCTGTGGTGGCCCCTTCTCAGACGTGCAATGCCCGCCCACCCCCCTGCATGCCTCCATCCCCTCCCTCTGTGGGAGGAAGGCTGCCCACAGGGCATGAGAGGGCTTTGCACGTTATGTGTCCTCCCTGCCTCCAATCTCCCAGCCTCTGCCCACTGACTCCAGCACCAAAGTCCTAGAACACAGCCTCAATGCATCACTCCCCTCCCAAAATCCTGCTGTCGACATGAAGTCCGATCCCCTTGCCAAGTGGCCTCTGCCAGCCTTTATAGCCTCCTTGCCTTACCATGTCCCCAACGTTCTAACCACACCAAGCTGTGTGTCCCCACCCCGGAGTGGGACAGGGCACAGCTCAGAAGGTCCACTCAGTGACTGGTTATGGGGCTGAAACACACGTGTCCACATACAGCCCCACGTTCACATCTATACACGTATATGCAGATGTAGATACACTCCTTTAGGCAGACATAAGTCCACCCCCCAATCGCACATAACCCATTGCCGTCCAGCGTATTCCGACTCATAGCAACCCTGTAGGACAGTAGAACTGCCCCACATGCTTTCCAAGGCTGTAATCCTTATGGAAGCAGACTGCCACATCTTTCTCCTGAGAAGCGGCTGGTGGGTACCAACCGCTGACCTTTCAGTTAGCCATGGAGGGCTTAATCACTGTGCTACCAGGGCTCCTTCTAATTGCACATGGGACTGGCAAATCCGCTTTATGGATCCCTAGAGAGGCCAAGCGTGTTTCTGTCCCCAACCCCAGCCCTGGATGGGGAGCGGGGAGGCAGTAGTAGATCTCATGGATCTGGCTGAGCCCCTGCTGAGCCCCAGGGTCTCTGAGCCCCAGAAGGTGGGTACACGATGGTCAAGCAGGCCCCAGCTAGGCTCTCATCCTGCAGCCCCAGACAAGCCACCTTCCCTCTTTCTCCAACAATAAAACAAAGGGGTTTGGGTTAGCTTACAGCTCTCAGCTCATGCCAAATGCGGAGAATGAAGGGGTGGTGAGCTTGCATCAGTCAGGGGAGCTTCCAGGAGGTGGGGCTGGAGGTGCAATTGGAATTGGCTCATTCAGTTGTCCTCCCATGTGCGGTAGTACAGGAAGCACGGCACTGATCTGGCCAAGCCCTGGCCCTCGGGGAGTGACCTTCTAGCACACGACAGGGTGTGGGTCAGCTAAACCAGGATGGGGAGGGGGTTTCATGCTGGAGGATTGTGTCCAGGTAAGCCGGTGTCTGGAAAGGGGTCAATCCAGCCTAAGTTCCTCCCAGCGGCCCCACTGGGAGCCCTGGAGAGGCCGCTCACCCCGAGCCCCAGGTTTTCCTGTCCCCAGGTGGGAGCGGGGAAGATGCACCTCTGCTCTGCAGGCAGAGGCCAAGGAGGCGTTTTGTTCCCTGTCCAGCTGCTGCTGAGGACACTCCGTCAGTGCCAATCCCAAGGGTGGGCACCCTCCACAGCGAAAGCTGCCTGCTGGACCAAGGAAAGCTCCAAGGGTGGGGATGAGGTGGGCGCACGGGCACCAGGAGCCTGAGCCAGGAGAGACCGAGGCCCCAGGGAGGGAAGCATGTTAATTACCCACAACTGTCACTTACAGGGCCAGCGGTGAGTCCTGCTGAACGCTCACCGCGCAGGAGTCATCTCATTTTATCATCTCGATTACGGTCAAATCCATCCTTTCTCACGTCAGGGCTGCTGACTAAGGGAATCTGGATCTTAAGTCAGGCCACAAATGATCTGGCCCACAAGCCCATTCTAGCCCCTGACCTCCCAGCCCCCACAAACAGGCACAGGGAAGGGGCCAAGAGGGAGCGGGGGGAGCTTCCAGCGAGACCCCACCCACCTCCAAAGCCCTCAGGGAAGCCCAGGACCTGGCCTCTAGAGAACAGAGGACACACACACCTTGGCGGGCTTACGGGCAGCCCCTTGCGTGAGGCAGCACATCCCTACGCTGAGCACCCACACGTGCATACGTGCAGGGGCGCCCCCCCCCAGCACACGACACCTGCACCCAGGTGCCACACACGCACGCTGGGGACGTGGTGACTGGCCCTGGGCCGCAGCCTCTGCTCTTCTCGGGACTTGGCACCCAGTGCTGACACCCACACTTCCAAGAACAAGGATTGACGCAGGGATGGGGCATATCAAGAGGCTGCCAGAGGAGCACAGGGCACAGTGGGGACAATATCCCGACTGCGACCCTGGCCAGCAGAAACCCTACGCCAGGACAGAAGGAAGTGGTGCCCTGAATCACAAATACAAATTCCCCCCTTCCTTAAGCCTCCCCGGACCCGGGAGCCCAGCTCCCTCCTTATCCCCAGCGTGCCTTGTAAGCCATGTCCCCAGGTCACACACCACCTTCAAGCTAGGCTGTCCAGAGCCAAGTGGGGAAGAGAGGCTATTCCCAGGGGCAGTGCAGGCTGGTGCTGACCCAGAGCCTCTCAGTGCCCTCAGGGAGGCGGGGAGGCTGGGGCAGACTAGGGGCAAGCAGGAGCAGCCCAAGCCTCGCTGTTCTCTATGGCTTTTTATTCCTATGTGATTCTACTGCTCACTCATATAGGGATTGGAGCCGTGGCGCACGGCGGGGGCGGCCAGCAGAGGACTCTGATACTGAGCTAGGGGTCCAAGGGGAGCCAGGACAGTGCCCCCTCCTCTCCAACCCAGGCCGCTAGCCAGGCCAAGGAAGCCATCCCCGGCTGCTCTCCCCCACTCCTCTTCTCCCCAGCCAGCTGCACCCCATCACTGCTCTGACCCCACCATCCCAGCCCTGCTAAGTGGGCACCAGGGCCGACCATCCCTCGGGGGAGCAGCTGAAGGAACTGGGGATGTTCAGCCTGAAAGAAGGGCTGGCACGAGGAAATGAGGCTGTGTCCTGTGGCTGGGAAGAGCCCCTGCACAAAGAGGGCTGGGAGGCAGGGCAGACTTCAGCTCAGCCAAAGGTGCCGTCTGCGGCGAAGTGCTGTCACTTCCTTGGTGGCAGGTAGCAACATCACCCAGCAAAGCCTTCAAACAGAGGTCGGAGAGACTGTGGCGGGGATGCCACAGGGGAGAGTTAGGGCTCGGTGGGTGGCCAGTCCCTCACGGACCCCAGGGGCTGCAGTCCTTAGGCCTGTCCTCCTGGGGTCTCTGTTCTTCAGCACTGAGGATGTCGGGAGCCTGGCTCAACCCACACAGACACAGAAAGGCACAGGCCCACGTCGACACGGAGGAGCCCTGAGCACGCCCAGCAGGCAGGGGCATAGGGCATCCTGTCAGGTCCTGGCACGGTGGCTGCAGCCCCACCCCATTGCCCCTCCCCAGGACCCCTGGCCCGTCAGCTCTGAGGGAGACACGAGGAGAATCCACAGTATGGGCCTTTCAGTCTCACAGCCTTTCCTGCTTCATGCCACAGAAAAGCCAGGCTGAGGGGGCTCAGCACAGCACAACGGCCGAGGGCTCACCCTGGTCCTCAGAGTACCTGCTGCCATGGCAGACAGCAGGGGTAGAGGGGAGCCCAACCTGCCGGGGAGCAGAGAGGCCCTGGGTGGAGGCGTGAGGGCCAACAAAGCAGCCAGGGCCAAGGTGAGCAGGGGCCTTCGCCTGGTGAGGCCCTGGGGACCAACCCTGGTCTTCCCAGGATGGTGCCCTTGCAGGCCTCCTCCGGACTCCCGAAGCATGACCCACGCCATCACCGGGGCCGCAAGAACAGGAGGTGGGCATCCATGACATTGGTGCCAGTCAGCCCTGTGAACAGCAGGTGTGCCCCACCGTGGAGGTGGCAGAAGAAGGTATGTGAGTCATTGTGGGCTAGGAAGGTAGCCACATCCAGTCCCTCGGCGGCAGCCTGGCTGGCAAGGTCAGACGTGACCCAGGCCCCGGCAGCCTCTGTGGGTCCATCCTGCCCATCAGTGCCACCACTCAAAAACAGCACATCAATAGGCCCCAGTGGCTGCCGTCCTAGCTCTGCTCCGACACGCAGGGCCAGCTCCTGGTTCCGGCCACCCTTGCCTGAGCCCTGCAGCTGCACCGTGGGCTCACCACCAGCCAGCAGGCAGACAGGACCCTGAGCCCCCGCCAGGGCCTCCAGAGCCTCCTCCAGCTGCAGGTCTGGGAGCTGGAGTTCAGCCGCCAGCCTGTGCAGTTCTGCATCCTCCTCCCCAGAAGCCCCAGCCCCAGGCAAGGTGAGGCGGGCTCCAGCCACTCGGGCCAGCAGCCCGTAGAACTGGGCCACACTTTTCACATCACCCTGCACGGCTGCGCTCAACACCACAGCCCGGTAGCCCAGCACCTCGGCCTGCCGCTGGGCCTCGGCCAGCGCCAGCATGTTGGAGCCAATGACCACGTTGAGGACATGACCACAAGCGCGTGGCCCGTGGGGGTCAGAGTCGGCCCGAGCCAGCACGGTCTTCACGGAGCGTGGCAGGGCAGCTCGGAGATTGTAGCGGTTGAGGATGTGCAGGCAATCTTGCACACTGTGGGTGCTGGCTACCGTGGGGCCACTGGCAATCATCTCCACGGGGTCTCCCACCACATCGGACAGGATCAGGCTCACCACCTGGGCAAGGGTCACAGGGGTCATGGCTCAGTCCCACCTCCTCTTTGCTCCAGAGCCCAAAAAGACAAACTGTTCCCTGTGTATCCCCACACCCTCATGCCACCTGCTTCCCCGCCCATTTCTAAGCCCTCTCAGGTGGGTTTGAAGACACCTGGCCGTGTGGACTCCTCCTCACCATGTCTGGGGCCCCTCCCATGACTCTGCCCACCCAGCCCCAGACTCCTGCACTGACCCCTGCCAATCTGCAGCTGTTCTAGGCTGTCATCTCCCTGGTACTTGTGGACTGGACACCATAGGCCCGGGGGCCACCTGGGGAAAGAGGGACTCACAAACCTGGGCAGGGTAGGCAGCCTGAGCCAGCCCTCCACCCTTGAGCTGGGACAGGGCCTTCCGGATGGTGTTCAGCTCCTGGATGGTGGCTCCACGGGCAGCCAATAGCTTGGTGAGCATCTGCTTCTCCTCTAGTGTGACTGGTGGAATGGGGGCCGGCAGCAGGGCTGAGCCCCCGCCTGCAGGGATAGTGAGGGCTTCAGGGCTGTGGGAAAGGGAACGGAAACAGCCTCGCGGGCAAAGGGACATGGCGACCTGGGGACCCAGCAAGCAAGCCAGAAGCAAATGAGGTCGAAGTCAGTGGTGAACAGGCCCACGCTGAGGAAGGGAGTGCTCGTAAGGTGGGCTCCGGGCGCCCCCGTGTGGGAATGCACGGCAAGTGCACATGGTCACCACCCCCCTCGGCACGTGAGGTTGTCTCCTGCCTTGGGGTGCCCCAGGTTCAAGCAGGCATTGGGAGAACTATTCCCTAAGAGCTCTGGAGCAGGGTAGAGCAGGAGGAGACGGCAGAGGACCAAGGAGAGGGCTCTATGGTGACTGGAGACCTGGGTTCTAGCTCCAGGTGACATCAGCGCAGACAAGAGCACCAGCCACAGCATCTCCCGAGGGCTCTGCTGCTGCACCAGGCCGAGATGAGGGGTCCCCATGCACCCTCTCACCGCCACTCACTTTAGGGAGGACCTCAGGGAAGGCCAGATGACTGGCCCAGAGCCACCCAGGAGTCAGCCACCCAGCTCCTCACTGCTTCCCTTGCTCCCACACTTTGCCCTGTGACCCCGGGGACTCAAACCACACGGTCCCTCGCAGACCTGATCCCTGAAGCCCCCTTGGCAAATCTGGCACCCCCACCTGAGATAAGCACCAGCAGCAGTTCGTCAGCCTTGAGCCCCTCGGCCAGCTGCCGGATGGCCAGCGCAGCCCTGAGCGCGTCACGGTCCGGCAGGTTGTCCTCGGCACCCTCGAATACCTGCACGCGGCTGTGAGGCTTCAGCAGCATCTCCCTGAGGAGGGGGAGAACACAGAGCAAAGGAGGGGGTAGGGAGAGACCGGGAGGCTTTTAGCTCCTCTCCTCCCTCCCACCTGACCGCCCAGCTGCACAGGTGAGGCAACATGCACCAGGATGCCCACCGACACCCATCCTGGAGCCGCGGCAGGCCCAGGCAAAAAGGGAACCCGGCAAGGGAGGGAGGTCCTGATCCAGCCTGAGTCTGGGTCCAGGTTCCCTCCAAACGGATAGTGGGGAGCAGCCCCCCACAACTCCTTACTGCTTGCCGGCATGCTCCATGGCAGCTCGGATCCCCTTGGGTACGCTGATCACGCCCTGCACGAGATGCTGGCCCAGAAGCTCCTCAGCGGCAGCCGCCATGCCCAGCACAGCCTTGCCGAAGCCCACCAGGTAGAGGTTGCGCCGCAGCTGAAAGCTCCGGTCCCGCACCTTCAGCTGCTTGCCGCTGGGGTCCAAGGTCAGGACCCGGTGCAGCATGGGGCCTGGGAGCACGGCACTCACAGCGCTCTCAAACAGTTGCTGCGCCTGCTCCGGCAGGGCCATACCGCTGGCCAGCCGGGCCACTGGGCCCCACCAGGGGAGCGGGCGCAAGGGGGCTCGGGCCAGACGGGGCAAGACCTGCAGGGCTGCAGCCATGCCCCACTGCTCTCAGCACCACCTGGCACCCATGGCTGCCTAGGGGGAAGAAAAGACCAGTGAGGGCCGCTGCAAGGCCAGAGACAGGAGGCTCCCCACAGCCAACTGCTGAAGGCTCAAGGTCGGCAGACCCCACGGCTGCTGCTGCAGGAATGGGCCACCTGCCAGCCCAAGACGACCTCCTGAGGCCCACATCTGCCTGATCTCTCTCCAGTCCTCGGAGCCCAGCCCTGCTTCCCAGCCATGTCCTCCTCTTCTGCAGACCACACGCTCCCCTCTGGACACTCTGCCCAAGTCCAAAGGTCCTGTTACCTGAGCCCTCCTCCTGGGTCACCCCTGTGGCTGAGTTAATCATCCACAGATTCCTAGCAGTGGGCTCCTGCCCTGCCCCTTTCCCACCCCCGCACTTCTGAGCCCTCACTCAGCAGCAACGCCCCTTTCTGGCACCTGCTGCCAGAAGGCTGTTGTTGTCCCATCAACTGACCCTGAGCCCACTGACCTCTAGCCTGCTGCAGTTCATTAGCTCAGGGGACTGGGCTGGGGTCTCTGTGGGGAGGCTGCAGGCTCGCCAGCGCACTGCCAGGCCAGGCCCAAAGCACATCCTCAGAGTGCGCAGCCCGAGGAACCCCAGCACTCAGGGCCAGTCAAGCAAGAGTTCAGGATCCAATCAAGAGTGACAGCAAAGTCTGGCTCAGGGTGGAACCTTACGGAAGTCCCAAGGCACCGCATGAAGCCATGCTGTGGGTCCTTATCTGCAGGACAGGGAAGGACGCCCTTTCACCCACATAGCTGACCAGACCCACTCCTGGCAAGAACACCCCCTTTGGCTCTGAAATAACAAATCCTGGGTCACACCCACCACTGAGGTAAGAGCCCAGTGGCTGGAGCTGGCAAAGGCCAGGCTCCCACAGTTGAGTCTGAATAGCCATTTTCCCCACTGGGCAGGGTAAAAAGCTAAAGAAGCCCTAAGGGGAAGGTCAGGAGGCTGCAAAAGGGTTTAGAGACAATAAATCCCCAAAGAGCTCGTCTGTATGAAGACATATACTTTAATAAATGCTCCCCATAAATCCTGCATACTGACTGCGTCAGCAAGTGCGGATCGAGCAGGGGAAGGAGGCTGGGACCAGGATTCCAGCTCTACCACACCTTTCCCGAGTGGCTGAGCCTCGTCTGCAAAATGAGAAGTAGGATGAGATGAGGACTAACGTTAAGATTAAGGGAGTGTTAAAGGAGTCTTACTATCTAGCAACACTTGGTTTTGAGGGAGTGGGCAAATTTCATACCTATTTCTCAGATGGCAAAGGCCTAGAGGACCCCAGCCTCGCTACTGGATACCAGAGCCCACGGCAGGGAGGGTGCTAGGACTGCCACATAAAACACAGAACTCCCAGTTAAATGTGAATTTCAAATAATTGAGTTAATTTTTTACAATTAAAAAAGTAATTTTTTAGTGCAAGCTTTTAAGTTGGTCCCTGGGTGGCACAGTTTGCGCTTGACTACTAACCCAAAGGTTGGCAGTTCAAATCCACCCAGTGGTGCCATGGAATAAAGGCCTGGCAATCTGTTTCCTTAAAAATTACAGGAAAGCCCTATGGAGCAGTTCTACTCTGTAAACGCATGGAGTCGCCATGAGTCAGAATAGACTCCACAGCAGTGGGCTTGGTTTTTTTTGACATCCCACGCAATAGCTGGGAAATAGTTACACTAAAAAATTATTCGCTGTTCATGTGAAATTCAAATTTAACTGGACGTTCTGTATTTTTATTTGCTAAATTTGTCGATCCTAAGCACAACACGGTTCTCCTGAACTCCGGGACGCTCCAACACCAAACTCCGAAACATCGAGAAGATCCGCTTGGCCTCTCCGCCGCTAAGTGGGGCGGGCCGGCCCGCAACTGCCCACATCTGGCCCCCGGAAGTGACGTCACGCTCCAGCCGGGAGCGCGGGCCTTCGGGAGAAATGGCTGTTGGGAACGCTCGGTGATGACCCGAAGGATAAGGGCCCACTGCAACCCCGACCAGGCGTCGCCCTGCCGTGGGCTCGCTTCCGGGGGCCACGGGAGCCCTCGCGGCACAGACTCACCGCCCCACGGCTCCAGGCCGCGGCTTCTAGCGCTGGAACCGGAAGTACTCGTTGGCAGACGGAGCGGAACCCGGAAGTGAGGGGTGGGGAAGGCGGGTTGGGCGGTGCCAGTGCGCGCTCGGGTGGAAGAGGGCGCTGGGGAAGTCAAACAGGGTTCGAGGGTCGTGTGCGTGGGTCGCCTGCCGCGCTGGGTCCTGACGAAGCAGACTCAGGAGCGAGAATTGGGGCATCTCGGCCCCTGACCCGCCGTGAGACCTGCATGGTGTCACCTTCAGGCCTCGGTTTCTTCATCTCGGTTGTTGGGCTCTGTTGGGTCGTTTTAATAGCGACCCCATGTGACAGAGTAGAATTGCCCCACGGGGTTTTCTAGGCTGTAATCTTTATGGGAGCAGATTGCCAGGTCTTTCGCCCACGGAGCTGCTGGGTGGGTTCAAACCGCCAACCTTTTGGTTAGCAGCCCAGTGCTTAACCGTTAAGCCACCAGGGCTCCTTTCTTCATCTCTGCAATGGGAGTTATAATCCCCACCTCACCAGATTGCTATGATCTGTCCCCTCCTTTAGCCTGTGCGATCCCATCAGTCAGCAAATACATCCTGAGCTCGTGTTAGGCAGTGCGCTGAGCAAACGGACTGAGGATCACACCCCTTCTTGCCAAATCATTGCCGTCCCTCTCCACCGTTGTAACCCTACAACTCATTGATCCCCCGCACAATGGGCCATCACATACAGCTCTGGCTCGGCAAGAGAGTTCTGTTCCTTGATCCTCGAAACTACCGCAAGCTGTGCGAAGACGAATGACCTTGGGCCTCCCTAGCTGTCCCTGCCGTGCCCCGTGTCCTCCCTTAGCCGGGCTTTATACTTTCCCATATTCGAAAGACAAGTCCCGACCAGACTGCAAAAACTCAGAAGAGTACACCGTTTTTTCTAATGTTTTCTTGGAGAGATGGAGGAGGAGGGAGTTACACAACAGACTTCCTAAAAATCTCCTTGACACATCTTTCTCGCCTTCCCGCTTCTGTCGGCAGCTGCCGCATCGCTCCATAGGTCTCCAAACCAAACCCTTGTCATGGACTTGCTCTCCTTTCACCTTGCCTCCTCGCCGCTCTCCCTGAGTTTTTCTTTATCAATCTCTCCCAAATGCCTTCCTACCTCATCAGCAAAACAAAGGCACCTTCAGGAGGATCTACCAGCGTTTTTAGAGATGGCGGAGATTATAATTACTTGAAATTTCATGGTTTTTCCTTGCTTATAACAAGCTGTCTTCATCCATCCATTTGTTTATTCGTCCATCATTCAAAAGACATTTCCTGGGTCGCTTCTATGTAGCCCAAATGCAGTAGATGCTGTGATGACTAAGAAGTGGTACTTTTAGTTGGGAAACTTACTCTGCTTTTGTGATTACGTAGCCACACTGCTGGTGGGAGTGTTAAGTGTGAGCACCACTCTCATTATTTAGTGCCAGAAACGTTCATAAACAAATACCATTTACTGTGCCCGTGCTATTCTATCCGACTATAAACAGGAAACTAAATTGTACCCATTTTTTATTCTGCCACCCCCACCCCCACAGCTACTCACAAGATGCCTTTAACAACAGCAAGATTTAAATGCCCACTGGACTGTGAGCTCCTGGAAGGGGGTGAATTGGTCTAGTTCGTGTTTGTATTTCTATTGCCTTGCATAGAAGCAGACGAAAATAGAACCTGGATTTTTTTTTTTTTTTTTTTTAATTAACAGGAGCGCAGTGAAGTGCTCAGCTGAAAAGTACTGCGACCCTGCTGCTAGGTGGAAAGGATTTCACAAAAGGAAAAGAGATGGGGGTAGGTGGAAATAGAAGGCTTCATGAAACAGCGGAGTTTAGATCTGAGGAAAAATTTGGCTTATCAGAATGCTTACACGTATCTTGATAGTAGACATGATACCTTCTGGGGATTTTATTTTAAAATAAGTATTGAAATGCTCAGGTTTGTCATGCATAAACTCGTTTATGACATAGCACACAGGTAAGACCCCAAGACACTAATTTGTTGTTGTTAGGTGCCGTGAAGTCTGTTCCAACTCATAGCAACCCCACGTACAACAGAATGAAATACTGCCCAGTCCTGCCCCATGCTCATAATCCTTATGCTTGAGCCCATTGTTGCAACCACTGTGTCAGTCCATCTTGTTGAGGGTCTTCCTCTCTTTTGCTGACCATCTACTTTACCAAGCATGATGTCCTTGTCCAGGGACTGATCCCTCCTGATAACATGTCCTAAGTATGTGAGACAAAGTCTCACCATGCTCGCTACTAAGGAGCATTCCGGCTGTACTTCTTCCGAGACAGATTTGTTCGTTCTTCTGGCTGTACATGGCATATTTGATATTCTTCCCCAACACCATAATTCAAAGGTATCAATTCTTCCTCAGTCTTCCTTATTCATTGTTCAGCTTTTCCCATGCATATGCGGCGATTGAAAATATCATTGCTTGGGTCAGGCACACCTTAGTCCTCAAAGTGACAACTTTGCTTTTTAACACTTTAAGGAGATTTTTTCGCAGCAGATTTGCCCAGTGCACTATGTCCTTTGATTTCTTGACTGCTGCTTCCATGGGCATTGATTGCGGATCCAAGTAAATGAAATCCTTGACAACTTCGATATTTTCTGCATTTATCATGATGTTGCTTATTGTTCCAATTGTGAGGATTTTTGTTTTCTTTATGTTGAGGTGTAGTCTGTACTGAAGGCTGTCGTCTTTGATCTTCATCAGTAAGTCCTCTTCGCTTTCAGCAAGCAAGATTGTGTCATCTGCATGTCGCAGGTTGTTAAAAAATCTTCCAATCCTGATACCAAGTTCTTCTTCATATAGTCTAGCCTCTTGGCTTATTTGCTCAGCATACAGATTGAATAAGGATGGTGAAAGGATACAACCCTGACGCATACCTTTTCTGATTTTAAACCACACAGTATCCCCTTATTCTATTTGAAAGACTGCCTCTCTGTCCCTGTACAGGTTCTGCATGAGCACAGTTAAGTAAGTGTTCTGGAATTCCCATTCTTCACAATGTTATCCATAATTTGTTGTGATCCACACAGTTGAATGCCTTTGCATAGTCAATAAAACACAGGTAAACATCTTTCTGGTAATCTCTGCTTTCAGCCAAGATCCATCTGACATCATTCCACATCCTCCTCTGAACCTGGCTTGAATTTCTGGCAATTCTCATTCAATGTCCTGCTACAACTGCTTTCAAATTATCTTCAGCAAAATTTTACTTGTGTGTGATACTAACGATATTGTTCAATAAGTTGTGCATTCTGTTGGATCACCTTTCTTTGGAATGGTCACAAATATGGATCTCTTCTAGTGAGTTGGGCAGGTAGCTATCTTCCAAATTTCTTGGCACAGATGAGTGAGCACCTCCAGCGCTGCATCAATTTGTTGAAACATCTCAATTGGTATTCCATCAATTCCTGGAGCCTTATTTTTCACCAAAGCAGCTTGGAGTTCTTCCTTCAATACCATTGGTTCTTGATCATATGCTACCTTCTGAAATGGTTGAACATCGACTACTTCTTTTTGGTACAATGACTGTGAATTCCTACCATCCTCTTTCGATGCTTCCTGCGTTCAATATTTTGTCCATAGAGTTCTTCAGTATTGCAACTTGAGGCTTGAATTTTTTCTTCAATTCTTTCAGCTTGAGAAATGCCAAGCATGTTCTTCCCTTTTGCTTTTCTAACTCCAAGTCTTTGCACATTTCATTATAATGCTTTACTTGGTCTTCTTGAGCTGCCCTTTGAAATCTTCCATTCAGCTCTTTTACTTGATTATTTCTTCCATTCGCTTTGGCTACTCTGCACTCAAGAGTAAGTTTCAGAGTCTCTTCTGACATCCATTTTGTGTTTTTTCTTTCTTTCGTGTCTTTTTAACGGCCTTTTGCTTTCTTCATGTATGATGTCGTCTCACAACTCGTCTGGTCTTTGGTCATTAGTGTTCAATGCATAAAATCTATCCTTGAGATGGTCTCTAAATTCAGGTGGTATATACACAAGGTTGTACTTTGGCTCTGGTGAACTTGTTTTAATTTTCTTCAGCTTCAACTTGAAATGGCATATAAGCAATTGGTAGTCTGTTCCAAAGTCAGCCCCTGGCCTTGTTCTGACTGATGATATGAGCTTCTCCATCGTCTCTTTGCACAGATGTGGTTGGTTTGATTCCTGTGTGTTCCATCCAGCAAGGTCCATGCATATAGTTGCCGTGTATGTTGTTGAAAAAAGGTATTTGCAATGAATAAGTTGTTGGTCTTGCAAAATTCTATCATGTGATCTCTGGCATCGTTTCCATCACCAAGGCTGTATATTCCAGTTACTGATTCTTCTTCTGGAGCCTTAGTGGCACAGTGGTTGAGAGCTAAGGCGAGCTACACCTGCTAACCAAAAAGTCGGCAGTTCGAATCCACCAGCCACTCCTTGGAAACCCTCTGGGGCGGTTCTACTCTGTCCTATAGGGTCACTGTGAGTCAGAATCGACTCCATGGCAATAGGTTTTGGATCTTTCTTCTTTGTTTCTAACTTTTGCATTCCAATCACAAGTAATTATCAACCTATCTTGACTGCATGTTTGATCAATTTTGGACTGCAGACATTGGTAAAAATCTTCAATTTCTTCACCTTTGGCATTAGTGGTTGGTATAGTCGTATTAACTGGTCTTCCTTGTAGATGTATGGTTATTATCCTATCACTGACAGCATTATACTTCAGGATAGATCTTGAAATGTTCTTTTTGACGATGAATGCGATACCATTCTTCTTCAATTTGTCATTCCCGGCATAGCAGACCATATGATTGTCCAATTCAAAATGGCCAATACCAGTCTATTTCAGTTCACTAATGCCTAGGATGGGGCCTTGGTGACACAGTGGTTAAGAGATTGGCTGCTAACCAAAAGGTCAGCAGTTCGAATCCACCAGCCACTCCTTGGAAATCCTATGGGGCAGTTCTACTCTGTCCTATAGGGTCGCTATGAATTGGTATCGATGGGTTTTTTAATGCCTAGGATATCAATCATTC